CCTTGGGGCGAATGAAAGTAGGGAGTAATTATTTCAGCCTGCTAAACCTGACGATGTTTACACAATTTGTTTCACAAGTGGTACCACGGGTAAGATTTATGTGTAGTTTTACCTTGAGACGAATGAAAGTAGGGAGTAATTATTTCAGCCTGCTAAACCTGACGATGTTTACACAATTTGTTTCACAAGTGGTACCACAGGTAAGATTTATGTGTAGTTTTACCTTGGGGCGAATGAAAGAAGGGAGTATTTTGCTATCGCCAAGAGCTATACGCTTATGAGAGCACCTGCAAAAAGCAAAGTCATTTTTTCGAAGGAAATAAAGCCTTCATTTCATGAAACAGCATGTTCGTAACGATTCGTCATTGCAAGAAAATCGTTGTAGAAAATATATTTCGTTTAAAGCGCTTTTGCTGAAACATTGTATGTAAATATTAGCATTTTTGTAAATAATTACATTTTGTAATATTTTTTTAAATATGTTAGTTGGGGAGAAGGCGTAGAGAGGGTTGCCTCGAATCTTTGATCCGCCCCTGATTTTAGGTGTCGTACCCCCCGGTAATTCTCTTGTATAGTTTCACCAGTGGTACGTATATTGAACTTTGGTTATGACGTTCATTTTTAGGACAACCAAAGGGAGTGATGTTGAGCAACAAGAACATGATATCCTGCCTCGCTGCAACTTTTATACATTTTGAGAAGGTTTAGTAAAATGAAGATAGTATCTTTGCTGTGTTCTTTAGTTTCAATTTCTCCATACTTTCGTCTTTAGAATGGCTACCCAGTGGATTCAAGCTTTGTTCACATATCCTATCTTCCGCTTCCTCACATGTACGAGAGACTTGTTATGGTAACTGAAAAATATTTTACTTCCTGGTTTAAGTTGTTCTTTTAAGCTATAGATTTTTGTATTACGCCGTCGTCATTTGTAGATGATTATTTGCTGTGCTGGAGGTAGAGCTGGGTTCTTTCGTGGTGATGTGAAACTTCTTTTGGATGACATCCAGTTATTGAGGTAATTCTCTTGAAATTCATGCACTTGTTGTGGATCACTGTAAATCATACAATATGATGTGTGATTAATTTTTTAGGCCGACATTCTTCGCTTCAGTTCCTCCTTTGTTAAACCGTCTTTACGATAAGGTTATTCAATGAAGACAATCGTTGTTTGTTTCTGTGAAAGATTTGTTGTGCTCATTTGTCTGTGATTTTAATTCTGCAGGTTATATCAAATATTGAAAGTAGCAGTGGCTTAAAAAAATGGCTGTTTTACAAGGCTTTTGAGTCGAAGAGAGCGGACTTGATAAAGTATTCAATAGTAAATGAAATAGCTTTAAGACCATTATGAAAATCTAAATATATTTATTTTCACTGTAGAGGTCAAATATCCAAAAATACTTTGTGGGACAAAATAGTTTTTCATAAAATTCAGGTACGATATAACTGACAGGCTGTTACGTCACTAGTGACTACCTGTTACGTCACCGGTGACTACCTGTTACGTCACCCGTGAGGGCCGTTTACTTCACTGGTGGGGGCTTCCTTCGTCACACGTAAGAGCCCGTTACGTCACCGATGAGGCCCCGTTACGTCAACATTTTATAGTCGTAAAACACTTCATTCGTTTCATTAAAAAAGCTTTTATCATGTTTCAAGGATATTGAGATCAGTGATTTTCCTTATATTTCCCGCTAATTGTTTTACTCTCACCTGGCCAATGAATTGTAAATTACATTTCGCTGTACCGGTCACTCGCCGTCATTCTTTAGGGGGACTGGTATTGAAACTAACTGACAACTTTCTTTTTTACAGGCAATTTTAGGTGGAAATGTAAATGTCATTCTCACAGGTGCTGCACCTATTGATGGTAAAGTTTTAGAGTTTTTAAGAGTCGTTCTTGGATGTTTGGTTCGTATTTATTTATGACATCACGTTTCAACTGTGTTACCATGGTTACATCTTATTTCTCTTTGTATTAAGATTTTTGAAGGTTATGGTCAGACTGAGTCTACAGCACTTGTTTCTCTGACAAATAAACTTGATCTTTCACCAGGTACTACGTATTTCCGTATAAACACTTCTGTGGTACTTCATTTAAGATGTAATATTGTTAGCGTTGAGAAAGTCAATATTAAGACATTAAGACCTAAGTAAGGTTGCCTGGGGCCTGGGTCTGAATAGTTCACTTTGAAGTGTTTTGTCATTTTTTATTTATGTACACTTAATGTTCATTTCTATTGTTAGATTGTCACAATTACCTATAAACCCCATTCATAATATCTACGTAGGTACCAGGCCCTGCAGTTGATAGCTCTATTATTGTAGTCATGTCCAGGTTTTTGTAATCATTTCTAATTAATAATGGTACAATGTTTTCCTAAGTATTTTACACAATATAGAGTGAATAACTCACTAGGAATTTTTCAACATATTTTATCCATCTGTATACTTATAATGAACCTGTCTTATACATGTCTATACCAACAGGTGACTATATTTTATCCATGTATGTACCTATAGGTCACGTTGGATCACCTAGTGTCTGTAACTATGTGAAACTTGTTGATGTACCAGAAATGAACTATTTTACTTCAAACAATCAAGGCGAAGTAACGAATCTTGTTTTTTATTTTCTACTTTGCTAATGTTATGTTACGATTGTGCATTGAAAGAATGATTTTTGTTTTAAGATATGTGTCTATGGTCCAAATGTCTTCAAGGGATATCTTAAAATCCTGACAAAACATCTCAAATGTTAGATGATGATGGCTGGTTGCATACAGGTGATGTAGGAGAATGGAAACAGGTCAGTTGAAGTTACATAGTAGCAAAGGATGTAAAATAATGTTTTTGTTGTTATCGAAATTAATGTGGGAAAATGACGTTAACTGGTTGTTAATTTTTGCTAAGACATTATCTGTCAGCGAATTCAGGAAGATGATAACTAAAAAACAGACATTTGACTTGAAGAATATTTACACCAAATACGAAGCAATCTCCTTTGAAAGAAATTTATTATAATTTATTATAATATATTAATATTAATTTTATTTCTCTAAGAAGGAAACGATAGGAAAAATATTTTGTCATCATGAACAATTTTTTGTATTATCGTACTTTCATGCAAATATAGTGTACATTATCTTTTACTTAATGATTAAGTATGTGGTGAGGTGCTCATAATGTTTCTGTTTTGTTTTATAGAATGGAACGCTTAAAATAATTGGTCGAAAAAATGTATTTTCAAGTTGTCGCAGGTTTATAAAACATAAATGATAGCAACCATTATATATTTTGTTTTTTTATTTATCTTATTTGTGATTGTGTCTTTTAGGGCGAATATATTTCTCCTGATAAAATTGAAAATGTTTACATCAAATGTCCTTTCGTCGCTCAAGCTTTTGTACACGGTTCTAGTCTTAAGGTACTGGGGCGAGTTGTTCTGCATGGCTGTGAACTTTTGCTTGAAATTTTGATTTGATTCTTAATTTTGAGATTTGGATTTGCTATAAAAATTACGATATCTTTTGCTTACTGCTGAGATCAAAATTCGTCTCAATTCACTAACTTTCTTATGGGTTGAGATTTGAAATAAAAATTGCTCTTGATTTGCCAGTCAGGAAACGTGTTTGTTCAGTAAAATTGATGAAAATGCACTCGCATTTGTTTGGAATATTCATTCGCTTAAAATGTTTGGCTTTGATTTTTTTGATAAAGATAAAATTGAATTTATGATTTTTTGTTTGCAATGTAGCATAATGTAATCTTTCCAATACTTAGTCATTTCTAGTTGGAATCATTGTTCCTGATGAAGAAATTCTTACAAAATGGGTCGAAGACAATAACATAAACAAATGTTTTGAGGAATTATGTCAGGATACGGTACTACATTAACATAGAAATTCCACATGTTTTTCATTGCATTCAAACGCTTGTACTTTCTATTACTTCAAACTTCAGGCCGTCAATGTCATGATTCTGAATGACATCATCTCCAGAGGAAAGGAAGCAAAGTTGGCATCGTTTGAACAGGTTTTTACTCCATAATTTTCTTCTGTAGTTTTATTTAACCTCATCTTATTTCTGTCATTATTTCAGGTCAAAGGAATTCATCTTCATTCGCAACTATTCACTCCAGAGAATGGATTACTAACTCCAACACTTAAATCCAAACGATTTACTTTAGCGAAAAGATTTAATGATGAAATTGATCGTTTGTATGAAAAATTGGAGAAGATTCCAGCCAAGCCGAAAGTTTAAGGCTCATGTCTGTTTTAGTTAGTTTATAGTTTAGTTTGATCGCTTAATTCTTCCGGGTAAAAATACATTGAAGACAAGGGTTTTAAAACCTGTTGGTCTTTTAATAGAATTTTAAACGTCAAATTATATAAAATACAAATAATATAACGAATAAAGAGCGACTGCAGAGCACATTCTTTAATGAAGGTGGTATGGTTATTGACCATTGAATCCTGGAAAGTTGTTTGCTAGTAGGGGATGTGTTTACAAAATTCAATATGGAAGCAAAATTATTTGAGGGGGGATATAAGTGCACAGTCCCCCTCGGTCCCTGATAAATGCATAGTGATACTTTGAAAGCATGGAACTGGGTTTAGGAAAGATTAATTTGATTAAGACCTAGACCGTGTCGCATCGAGGGTAGTTCAAAATAAATGATAGAAGCTTATTTTGAATTCAAAAGACTTTTTTAACAACATTAAAAGTTTATGAAGAATATTTGAGACTGAAATAATCCCAATAGGATTCGCTCCAGAGTATGGAAATAGATTATAATGTATCCTGACCATCTATAGATCCGCCACTAGATCTAAATATTGTCAAACTAAAAATGTGTCGATGACTTGCAATATTATTCATGTCATGCACTTTAAGTAGCAATTTTTACTACTAAAGCAATTTCTAGGAACATTGCAAATCTTGAGGTGCTTATGTTGAAAATATATTTATTGGATAAATACAAAATAAAAAAGAAAACATTATTTCCAGTAGATTTGAGGTTGATACTTTATTCAATATCCTTCTTAATCCACTAAATAAATTGTCTACAAAATGCTAAAAGATTATTACATGGCTAAACACTTGTTGCTATAAAAAGTTCCAGTCATTTAGATGAACTTTATGCAAACATCATAAAAAATAATGTAATTTATGACCAGTTAATGTTTGGATTACTTTGACTTACAACAACATTTTTTTATCTTAACTGACATCTACAATTTCTAAATTAAGGTCTGTTTATGAATGGAGAGACGAAACCTGAAGCTTGTTTAAACGAAATGTTTTATTTATTTTTGTAGGGGTAGAGTAGCAATCTTTGATAATTTTCTGTTTAAAGACAAGTCTGTGATGTAATATCAGCTTTTCATATTTTTTTGTCGGAAATGAAGAATGATTTACGTGTCGAAAAACATTTCGTCTTTGGTAGGATCCAAACTGTTGTTTGGTAAGTGACAAAGACTCGTCAAGTTCTCTCTCACCTTTCATATAAACATGGCTCTTATAGTATTGTTTATTTATACTACAAATATCTAGAATTATATCAACAAGTAAATGATTACATTTATGGCAATGTTCACTGATTAATTTGATGTTGAAGATTGTCGTTAAGATGACTTTTTTCAATACGACGGGTGGGTTAAGTCGTAGTGGGTGATATTTGATTTGAATAAGATTATTTTTTTCACTTAATGTCCACGGGTTCTCAGAACGAAATGACTCATTAACATCAATAACATCAATAATTGTCTCAAAACGATTTTCTAAACATTGCTATAAATTGTTAAAAAGTGTAAAAAAGGTAGTTTTTTCATTATGTTTTTCTGAAATAGAACCACAAATTTACATGTTTACACAACTTATAACATTTCTATCTCTAAATTATCAACTTTCCCCAATCTCTAAGATCAAGAATTCTCAACTATTACACAACACAGTTGTGTTATCTTCACAAAAAGTTTGATTTTAAGATGACGTACTTAAGCAAATTTTTTTAAAATTATTGAAAAAGGCAGAAAATTTAAGAAACTTAGGAACTGGGGCCGGTTGCACGAAGCCTGGATAGCGTTGTCCATTGGATAGCAATTTTTTTAACTCTTATAAAACGTTTTGAAAAGCAATAATTATAAGATTCCTAATAAGCAATCACTGAAATAAAACATTGTTTTTAAGATTACGGAATTTCTTTGTCGTAAAAAAATATAAACATCTTTTTTACAAGTTTGAAAATTTATGCTGTCCAATGGATAACGCTATCCAAGGTTTGTGCAACCGGCCTTAGATGATCAAGTTATCAACAACTTTGCAGGTTGATGATTTAGGCGTGGAGTATGGAGGGAGGCATATTTTCACAATTCAATATACTGCAAACATTTGTGGACTTAGCCAGCAGAAAAATCTTAATTTCAAAATATACGTTCATAAAAATGTGAAGGTATGTTTTGAAATTTGAATAAGTCAACAAATAAGTTGATATAATTTATCTACATTTGCCTCTGACCTCAAAATATTAATTTCGTTTGTATGACTGTGCTACCCCCCGATAAAGAAGCTGGCTTTCTCAATAACCCTCACTTATCAAGTTGGTGAAGATGCGATTATGAAAATTCGTTTAGCAAATTTTTCCTTGTCTATTTTGTTTAGAAAAAAATCGATGCTTCGATGGAGGCGTAGATTATAGTTATTATGCATAAAAATAAATGAAATGAGTTTTTATGACAAAAGTTTTCATTTCTTGTAACATCTCAACGATGCAGCCCTGGACCTTCAAAATAATTTCAGCTGACATTTCACATTGTCGGTGGTACTGTCGACTTCATTTTCACCATTAGTGAAATTAACAACACACATAAATTACAAGCTACATTGTTAAACCATTTCATCGTCACTTTCATTACTTTCAGATTGCGAAGATTCACTATAATTGACATAATCGTCATTATCACTTTCACTACTTTCATATTGCCAAAATTCACTATCAATGCAACAATCGTCATTATCACTGTTTGTAAAAGGTGCGAAGTCGCTAACATACAAATTATAAGGTAGATTGTAATCCTTGCCTGACCAATCCTTTAAACCGCGAATAACGAGAAAATTGATTTTACCATTTGGTTGAATACAAGTTATTTTGTAATCAGTAAGTTTAAAAATTTTAACTGAAGTATCAGCTTTAAAGTATGTTACAAATTTCCATTGAATCAGATCAAACATGCACAAGTAACCTGCAATATCTTGAAACAAAACATATTTGTTTCTTCCCATAAAATAGCAACATTTAACCATGCATGAATGCTCAAATTGAGATGCTTTTTGAGATGCTTTTTCAGGAGCACTTAGGAACTCATAAAAAATTATTCTATTTTCTACACAACAAGCTAACATTTTGTCGTCAGACGACAGAATACAATGGCTACACTTCTCCTGTTTACTACCTAATTGAAATGAACGCGTGGTTGGTTCACTGGCTTTATTTTTATCATAGTTGTATATCCAAATTGATGTTCCTTTACACAAGATGATTATGCGGTTATTCATCGAAGAACAACAAGTGTCTACTTCTATCAAATAATTTTCAGGAAGGAAACGCTTTAAATCTTTGTTTTTCACAAACCAGACGTAAATTGTTTGACGACGAGAATTCTTGTTATTGGTGCAAAATAGAATCAAGGACGAGTCTGGAGAAAACAACACAAAATGAAAATCTGATTCACCATTCTTCAGTTTATGAATTACTTCAGAAGTGGAGAAAGAGGAATCGGCGGGAAAAATTTTAAGTTCAGAATTAGAAAATTTTACAAAATACCGTCCATCATAAGATAATGTGCATTTATTTGCATCAAATATCTCTAACTTGGAAAAGTCTACGTTGTCTTTATGAAAGTTTGAGTTGACGAACTTCAAAAAATCTGCAGGAAAGTCATGTAAAGAAATCGTTTTTTCTTCGCCATTCGATCGAAATACAAACTTCTCAGCTATACAAAGCAAAGGGGAAACACTTTCAAAATGCTTGTTGCTATCCAAAAACCAAGCGAAAAGATTTTTTCTATTATTGTAAATGATAGCGTTGTTATTATGCGTAAAACCAAATATATCTGACTTTCCTTCCATAACACCATGGAGCTTGAAGCTATCATAGCTAGTCTCAGCAGTATCGTCCTTAAGGTGAACCTCGTCATGATCTTGAGAATGATCAAATTTGAACAAATCAACTTGATATTCATGTTTAAGAAGCAACCAATTTTTGTCACTAGACAAACAAACTACATCGCCCCAAATCAGATTATGTAAAGATATTGGCATGTTGTGAATGAAAACGGAGTCTTCCCTTACAATCGATACTCTATCTTTGAGAAGCCCAAAACGACGATTCAAATTAGATGGCCAAACCATATTTCCCTCGAAGGGCCTATGTTTCTGAAAGTAAATCCCCTGGTCGAAGATTTTTACATTAGATTTATCTGCATTAAAATAATGTACCAAGAAACGTTGGAGAAATTCTTTTGGAGACAATTCAAGGTAGAACATGTGATAAAGAGTATATGAGAAAAAATGCCATATGTAGAAAAAAGAATTCAGTTTCCATTGATTATTAAGATCGCTTTCACACATGAGCTTGAACACATGATCCCCTGTTTTGACATCCCAGATTTGGTGTTTGGAAGAAGTGGGATATTTCTCAGGAGTGACGGAAAATATACATTCATCATCAGGTCGACATTCAACATTTTCCGCTCTTACCGCTATGTAATTTACATGTTCATGTTCAACAAAAGAAGCCCAGTTATAAAATGTATCAGTTTGTGGAAATTGAGTTTTCTCAACTGTCATTCTCTCGTCTACCGAAAACCAGAATCTTAATGTCCCAAAAAATATCCATTTGTCGTCAGGAGAGAATGCTAAGCAATGAATCTTGTCTACGTTTAACTGAAAGGGACCAAATTTTTGTTGAAAAAAAGATGTTTCAAACAGATAAAGAACGTTTTCTTTTCCTCCTGCCAACAAAACTGTCGTTTTCAAGAATAGACTGTAGTTCCTTAATAGTTTGTTTTTCATCTTCTTTTAACTCAATATTTCCAATTGCAAAGTGAATGTCATTTAAAAGGGGAAAAATACCTGATGTACAGCTTCGTATTCGTCGTTGGAGAAACTGAGAGTTAGTAAAACACTGAAAAAATATTCTCGACAATTCAGAGTTTTCAGTTGAAAGATGAAATAGATAACGAAACTCAATTTTGAGGATGTAACAGACAACGGAATTTTCATCTGAGTCATTGAATGGTAGTCCATTCTTCAGGAATGATGTCAAAAGTTCGATAACAATTTCCTTAAAGAAAATTTGTGCTTCTGTTTTATCTATTACGAGCTTTCGCGAAGCGCGCTCTTTATCAGAGAGCCAGTCAGATATAAGATTGTGAAGAAACGTGAAATTTTTTTTATCACAAGAAAAAAACAGTGATATAGCATCAAATACTTCTTGTTCGTCAAGATCTAAATTATATTTTTTTAAAAGAAATGGAATAAACGAATTAGGAAGAGGTGAAGGAGCAACCACTGCACAACCTAACAATTTTTTATAGAAATCTTTTCCAACTTTCTGATGAATACGTTTAAAGTTATTAAGAAAGTAACCATCAATATCTTGTGGGCATTTTTCAAGATCCGTTTCAGATGAATCTTTGAGAGTTTTGACAAGATAATGTGCAAACAAAAACATTCCTTTACATTTTTTTGTAATTTCTTTTGCAGAAAATGATTTACCTGTGAAGTCGACTTGATTTTCAAAAAGTTTGAATATCTTGTTCATGTTTTCATAAGCCTTAGCATTATTCGCATCTCCTGAACAAATCTTTACACATGGATTGTAATTTTTCAAAGTAAATTGCGTGTAATCTACTGGACGTGTTGTTATAAAGAAAAGTAGCCATTGTGGAAGTTGGGGAAAACGAAAGTTACCACATCAAAAATTCATTTTTCGAATCATAATCTGCCTCATCTAAAGCATCGATCACAATGAGAGTTTTTGAAAAAGTCTTAAGATTACTTAGTGGTTCTTCGAAAAACTTAGTAAAAAGTTCTTGAACGCCTAGTTTTGTATCGCTTAGTCGTTTTTGTATTCCAGACATCCCTCCCAATAATTTCAAATAATCAGGAAAATGTTTACCTAACTGATAAGCAACACTGGCCAGGAGAGATCTTGGATCACGACGTGTACCATCATAATGTCTACAAAAGAATGTTGCTCCTAACTTCCCATCATCCTTAGCGCGTTGAGCGATAGCAGCTGACATAACTGTTTTACCAACTCCAGCATCTCCCATAAATACAAAAGCTCTTGATTCTCCAGGTTTTTCGAACCAGGCAGAGAAATCTTCGATCAACCATTTTCTTGTTTCTGGATCGAATTTTTGGTAGTGGAAATCGATATCGCTGTCACAAATGGCAAAATCTATGAAAATACAATCATAAAGTTAGTTTTATTTGAAAGACATCTCGCCTTCGTTCTTTAATGCATTTCTATATATAGCACTAATGGTTTGGTGTTAACATTTTGCAAATCGTTCACATTTTTTCAATAGCTTAGTTTGCTTGGGATTTTTAATAGTGTGTTTTGTGATGTTTAATTTATAAATCTGCACTTGAAATTTAGTTGTTCTAATAATATACCATTAATTTTGCTTTGATGAAGTTGATCAACTTTGTCGTTAACTTTCTCTACGTCGTCTTTAACTTTCTCTACGTCGTCTTTAACTTTCTCTACTGTGTCTTTAACTTTCTCTAATTCGTCTTCAAGTTTCTCAATACGTCTTTTTAACTGATCAATGCATTTGTCAAGCGTATCTTGCGCTAACTTTTTGTACTCTTGGTTTTCAAATTTCATTTCTTCAACTTCTTCTCGAAGTCTGTTAATGTGATCTTTTAACACTTCACATAAAGTGCGATCAATTGTTTGCAATGTCAAAGCTGTAAAATGTAATTAAAATGGTGTTGATAAAATATATTAAATATACGATATACCGATACACCGGTATTGCTGGGATGTTTTGGATGAAGATGTTATAACTAATTTTTTGTTACATACGTTCTGCAAAACGTTAATAAAACCCACTCAATGATACAACAATGAAAAATATACCTTGATCTTTCCAATGATTTATATCATTCAAAACTTCATCTTCAGTTGCTAAACACAATTCTTTCACAAGTTTCTTCACATTGTCGATTTTCTTTTGAAAATCTGTTTCGTTCCATTCCTTAAAATTGCAGTGACCCCAAGAATTTCTATTTTCTCTAACAATTTTTGCTGCATTCTGGATCAGGTTGGAAAAAATTGGCATCGTTTCTAGTAACCTAAGCACTGGTGATGCGTCACAACTGTTGTAACTGTTAAAAAACTTTGCCATGTCACTTCGAAGGAAAAGTTTTCCAAAGTCGACATGTGACTTAACTTCATAGTTAAATTTCCTCTTATCCTTTGTTTCATTATTGTTGATATTTTTATAATGTAGATCGTGGGGGGAATATTTTGATAAAGGAAAGTTGTGAATCTTTTGAACATGAATATTATGATATTGCTTTAGTGCATTATACTCATTTAAAATATTCTCTTCCAGGTAAGGTCGAACAGCTGGGATCAAAACATGATTAAGTACGATTCCATAAACACACCATCGTATTTCATCGTCATTTAACGGCGTTGCCCTATAACGATCGTCATTAATTATTGAGGGAAAATTGGAATACATGCACATAAATTGCCCTATAGTGATACATATGATTGACAGACACTTAACTATAAAAGAATATTAGCTAGCACGTGATAAGGACAATGTATGTGTGTACTTCATGTAGAGGCGTATTAAAAGAAACTAGACAAGGAGCTATATTTCTTGAGTTATCACAATAAATTTAAAAATGTTTTATTTAGAAAGCGTAAAACCCAGAAAAGTATTGTTAGACAAGATCATTTAATTTGATCCAAGTTCATCATAATATAATATTATATAAGCAAATGATGGCGCAAATGTGTTATTACAGTTGATTTTTATTAATTCACCTTTAGATAAAACGGTAAGTTATGAGAAATTCAAAAATTTGCGACGCATTAATTGAAATTAAGGCAACTTACATTTTTTCATTTCATCAAACTTCATTAATGATTATTTCTCCATAAACTTTAAATGCCATAACAAATAACCATCTCCGTCGTGAAGTTAAAATTTACCTGTGAACATTCAAGGTAGCCAGTTCATTAACAATATAGACTTAACAACAACCAGGACAAGCAGACAATTTTAAGTAATACAAAATAAAACAAATTCCGAAAACGGACATCTCGTTTTCTTGATATTCAAGATAATACAAGAGTTTGAAACAAAAGATGGTGTAATATTTCGTCTTTATTCCAAGGACATCATCAGACTAATGTTTTTATATAGACTTATTTATTTTGTTTTATATAGACTTAAGGCTGAAACACACTAGGCAGTCGCTTTGGTCGCGCGTCTAAAACTACCGCTTTACATGGTTACTAAGCTAGGAGCGTAGTCGCGTCATCCATTGAGTTCTATAATAACTGGAGCGGCTAAGTGGACTGGGACCAGTGAACTCCATATATATATATATCTGGAATGATAACGACAATACATTTTATAGATATAAAATTGAAGCCAAAGTCCTAGTCTCTTGCGCGGTTTGTACGTCAGTTCCAGTCCTTCAAAGTAGAATATTCACGCGATTTGTACGTCAGTTTCATTCCCCTGAGTGCCAAACATACACGGCCAATATAAATTTGAATACAAATTGCAAAAGCATAAACATATAAACAACATCACGACAAACAACACACGAGGCCAACTCCTCGCAAAAGGTTATTTTTTACAGCTGAAACTTTATATAGTGAGTTCGTTGTAACTTACAACTTGTAACGAGGAAAAGCCAACTGAAAATTACATTGTTTGCTAAAAAGACAATACAATAGAAAATATGACGAGAAAATATTCAAGCATAAATTTTTCTTTCGTCGGAAGGTAAACTTTCAAACGGTGTCAGACAGTGTTTGTCTTTTTTGTCATTTAAGTGGATGTAAAGATCTGTTTTTCCGAATAAAAAAGAAACTTGAATATCCAGTTTCATAAAAAATATTGAGTCTATAACTCGCATTTTTACTTTTTACAGAGCGATTGTATTTTTCATCGATTTTGATAGTGCTTGAAACTTGAAATACTAAATGGTTGTCATCTCGATATCAATAATTGAATATCCTTAAAGACTTTGATATGTTTTAAAGGAAAACCGCAGCGTAAGAGCAGATCGACTAAGTTCACCTCATCTTGCTTCTCGATTTATCACTTTGATTCACTTTCCGTGAACCTTTTCATTCCAAAAATTTCGTTATTTTTACGCTCTGATCAAGATCCGAACTCTACCATTACCAAGGGACAAATGATTTAAAAAAATTAAAATGAACACGCGAGGACTAGAGCCTGACGTGTGATGACGAATGATGACAACAAATATTTTTTTGGCTTCAATTTTTGGCTTCGGTTATCATTCCAGTTATTCAAATGTCGAGTTCACTGACTGGGACCTGACGCCAAAAAAATGGCGGCCAATGGACCTATTTCCGCTGAAACGATCGCTTTGCAGAAAAATTATATTCTCGACCTCCCCCTGATGTCTATAGCAAATTATACAGCATTTTTCAAAAACAAACACGATATCTTTTTTTGGCATTTCTTTTAAAATGCCAACACTTCAATCATTCAATTATTGGATATCGTAGTGTCTACAAAAAGGAACATGTCGCTTTCACAGGTGAGATATTTGTTTTGTTTGTTCATCAAAAATTGAAAAGCAATTGAACTTGAAGCGTGAGCGATAAAATCCGACTGATGTTTTCCTGTTTTTCTTTTTAGATATCAACATATTTTTCCACTTATTCGTTAATGTGTGAAACCGTAAATATGTTTGACGCGAAAAGAAAATTCTTCTCTTTTTACTCAGTAGGCAGATACTATGAAGAAACGATCACCCTCAAAGTGAACCCATGAAGTAGAGCAGAGTTTGTTCAATCAATTTGACAACATGAAGAGATTATCGGATAGCAAAATGTTTCTGGAAAATGCAGCTGTTTCAGTACCAACACTATTTCATAGATCACTTTATGAAGACAATTGGAAGATGTTATTAACCAGACAGAATCTAACTGCAAAATGATAAGGCTGAATACAAACAAAGGTAAATGATTTACAGATTTCCCTGTCCAACAGTTATTTGAACTTGGACTAATTCTATGGATGGAGATAATGGATTTAATAAAGATGCCTTGAAATGTCATGTAAAAAGGTCATAAAGTTTGTGCTTGTGTCAATATTGATACTGAGATTAATGATGACTTGCTGCAACTGTACAATCCAGTGTGTTTTTTACAACTAAATTGTAAAATCATGTCACATCTCTTTGGTAAATTATTTTAGTAGAATGCTGTTTGAATGTTTCTTATATGTAATGCAACCCATATTGAAGCATTAAAGATTCAGTGATGAAAACTTCAGTGCTATATATTTCTTTTTAATTTCAGTTTTTGCTGTAAAAATACTTTGAGCTCATTTACCTAATAAAGTACAGAATGGACATTTGCCATTTGCTTTATTTTCCCTTCATTAAACCAGAGAAATGTTTTGTTTTTTCCAAGTTTTTCTTCAGTTTTCTGCTCCTTAATTCATTTTATAATGTCAATGAAATACAGGTAGTACAGCTTAATAACTCTATAATTTCTGAAAAGCTGTTAAGCTTCTAGCATTAAAGAGCACAAAATGTGTTTAATTCATTTGGTTTTATTGCCTTATTTTTACATGTGTACATGCACTTCATCATTCTTGTATAGACAACACCAGATGTTGCATACTTAGAGGGAAACATCCCATAACAACTGGTATTAAATATGGGTATAAAATTTATTATTGAAGTGAAAGCTGTATTAGTCGATCAAATTTTGAACTCACATGGCTAATACATAAAAAAGAGAAAAAGAAGAGAAGTATTAAATTCACAATTGTGTATTCATGTTTTCAAGTGTTATAAACACTATTGTAATTTAAGTGTTTTAATTATTTGCATTTTTGCCATTTCACAATCATTACTACGAAATCAAATATGCTACAACTTGACAAGTATTTGATGCAGTTCTTGTTCAGAAGACCACAAAAATCTCAAAGGTTCTCATGATTTGTATACCATATCTTTTTCATTATTCATTTACGAAACGCGAGATGCATGTACAAAAACCAATCCTACAATTGTTGCGAAAAAGGCCGTCACATGAAAGAAAGCAAAAAACTAATGAGTACAAATGGGCTAACATTTCTCTCGTGATCTGTGGGAGATAAAATTTGATATATTTTGTTTCGTGCAGACTACAAACTTTGATCGAGCAAATCACTAAACGACAGATACGACGCGCACATCTGCATTCATATGTGGCCAACAAATAGTTCGTTCGTTAAAAAAGGCATCCGTCGTAGAAGCCGACAACTGGCAACCACAGTAGACTCGCTTTCATGAATTTTATGTTTTTACAGTGATTTTCATCATAAAATTGCTTGCCAAATATGCGAAAAACACATATAATTTTTCCTCACTTTTTCTCAAGGGGGGAGAGAGAACTTGCGAGATTTTCGGAAAAGCAGTCAATTTCGGTTAATCTCAGCGGTAATGGAAAAAATCCTCCATTTTTTTGGCGTCAGCCGCTAATTAAAGCCGCGCTTGAGATAACCGCTCCAGTTATTATAGAACTCAATGGCGTCATCTAGTCGCATTGAAAGTTCAACATGTTGAACTTTTGATATTGGTCGTTTAAGTCGCTTTACACTGATTTGCCAATAGATAAAATTTAACTTCCTAAATGCATATCATATTCCCTGTTATAAGCATCATACGAAATTTATAAATTATACCTTGGAAAACGAAGGCAATATATAGTGAATTCACATTGAAATCTTACAGTTTTTATATGACTTGTAGAATAGGGACAATAGAAGCTACAAACTGGAACCCTAATGCACAACCTAAATGCACAGAATAAGATTGTCCACGATATACGCGTAACGGCGTGTTTTAACTGGTTTGTTCTCTTTTCTCCACATAGTAGTTTGTACTGAGTAAATATTCATATATTAGTAGCTATAATAAAGG